TGGCAGCCTCGATGCTCCTACAGTTGGTGTCAGTGAGAATACTGGCATTTGTTTTCTTGTCTTGCCAGCGAACTCGGATGATGGAACGTAGACTACGTCGGTGAAGATTTTCAAGTGCCTTGGGGTGCCTCTTAATCTATATAAATAATCAAACATAGCAAATTTTTATACACTTTTGCTCGCCACTTATAACGTTGCAGTATTAGCTGTAGCAGACAATAAAAAAATGCTTGTGAGGTGCGTGGGTGTCAGGTGGTTTGGGTGGGGGCAAGGAATATCCAATAAAGAAGTATAACTCTCCCTTAAAAATCATTATTGTTATTGGGTTGCCACATTGAGACCGTTATGCCACCTAGTAACAGGGTGACCAACTTTCAGAAGAAAACGCTTGTAAATGAGGGCAAACTATTACTGTTTCTCGCGCTATATTTTTTTTGAGCCTCATAGAAGAGGTAATCATGAGCATCATAGAAAAGGTACAGTATTAAGTAGTTTACTTGGATTAAAGTAACTGTATAAACCATTAATCAAGAAGATATTAATATGTGCTTTATGAAATGCAGATAAAGAAACACCAATTTTAGGTCTCATGGAGAAGCACGTTATGTTACACATCAGCTGACTGACCGTTATGGACTTGTCGAATATGTTAGCCGTTGGCCAGCAGCGCGACGTAAATTTCATCGAGAGTAAGACAAAAACCCCAGGACAAAATCCCCAAAGGACAAACCCCCTTGAACAAACCTAACCTAACCCAAGGGGGTTTTGTCCTAGGGGGATTTTGTCTGGACCCCATTTTCATCATACCCTTTACGGATCAGATTTTCAGACTCCTTCAATTATATTCTGTCGGGTACACAAATTTACAAGGAGAAATATAGATAATCTTAATCCTCCGTTGGATTTCAATTTTATTTATTAAAAAAAACGTTTAAGTGAAACATTCTTAGAAAACAAGCTATTTATAATGGGACGAAACCAAAATTCATTATTACCGACAACTGTGGATACATTGAAGACTCGTTTCATTCTTCCAACAACAGGTCTGATGTCAACTATATTTTTTTAATCCAAAACATCTAAATACTAACTTACTTATAAAGCACAACAATATTCAAAACTTGTGTTCTGTTGACACTTTTGACGAGTGTTTAACACAAACCTACGACTACGTTCATAGTTTAGAATTCAACCCTTAGCTTTACCCCTGAGTTATTTAAGATCAAACACTTCAAAACATTAACCAAAATCGTTACCCTACTAATATGTTATTTCTAAAGCTACAAGAATTTTCTTATAAAATTTCCGCCCAAACCTAAAGTTTTGCCTCTCTTAAATAAGTGAAATATTTAAAATTACCTTACCTGACATGTGTACTGGATTCCAGTATTTGAAAGCTGGTCAAAGTATAAGGTCAAATTTCTTCAGCGGATCAAGATTTAAACAGTAGTCGCCCGTTCAAACTGCACTCCAACATTGTAAATCTCTTTACTTGTTGGCGCTGTAATGTACAAAACTTTTCGTGAGTAATACTTTAAGTTTTTATAACACAGGAATTTATAATATACGGTTAAGTCAGACTTTACCTGCATGTGTCCTCTAAAAATCAGTGTTTCCACAATTCGTAAACACTACAAAGAACCGAATTTCAGGGGGTTCAATCTTTTTCACCCTTCAGGGGATCCAAACTGAGGTTCACGAACCCCCAGGGGAGTATAGAGGAGGGATTCCCAGGGGACACTGTACATTGAGGGCTGACGAAAATCAATATAGAATAAACCAATTTTACCAGATTTAATTCATGAGGTGATATAAATTTAATGTTAGATTTACAATGTGGAAAGTAGCTTCTCTCCAATCACCAAATGTATTTAACTGCCATTCTATAACTGAATTAGTGATAATGTAGTACCATTCTATGTTCAGTTTCTCAGTGATGTGGGTACAAGTCGACGGTCTGATACTCAGGGGTTACCTCAGTAAGTCTGCTGAGAATGACGCCGAAACCCAACAACCAAACTGCTGAAGTAACAATTTGGATGGTTCAAAAATTTTTGCATTGTATTGTAAATAAATATATTTTATATTATTTCCTGATTTTTTTTTAAATTTACGAGTATATTTTATGTTGACAATCTTATTTTTAATTTAACCAATTAACCTGTTTTGTTTAATATTTTGATTTATCCTTGCAAGTGTTTGGCTCACGTGTTATTTGGTTTTTATTGCCCATGGTTGATTTTTTTCTTTTCTTTTTTAACGGGGATTAGCCCACCCGGGCACAGGTCACTGACCCACATCAGGGCTTGGGGGGCGAAGATACTATAATAATAATAATAGTAATAATAATAATAATAATAATAATAATAATAATAATAATAAAAATAAATAATAATAATAATAATAATAAAAACAATTATTATTATTGTAATAATTAATACAAATTAATAACAAAATACTAAAATTAATAATAACCACAAATAAATACAAAAACGAAAAAAACAAATCATGACTGAGAAACGATAGTTGAGGTGTATAAGCATCTCAGGGGGCACTACTCAGTTGAGTGTCACTTGGAGCTGGCGGATTCTCGCCCCACAAGGAGTCACAGCTCAAGATTGAAGCCGCAAGTCCAGAAAACTGTGAGGGCAAACTTTTTCGGAGTGAGGGTTGTAAACTCTTGGAACAATCTTCCAGAGAGTGTTGTGACGGCACCGGAAGTGTGAGCTCTTTCAAGACAAGACTTGACCAACACTGGAGCGGGTTCAGGTACATTCAGGAGCCGGTGCATGCCCAGTATTTGCCAACAGTGCATGACAGAGACGTGACCGATCGCCCGGGAGGCGAGCGAGCCGATCTTTTGGTGAAGAAGATAAATGAAAAGGAAAAGTAATCAGAGACGTGACCGATCGCCCAAGCGGCTAACGAGCCGATCAGTGGCGAAGAGGATAAAAGAATGTATATTACGTATGTTGTGTTGTCAAAGTAAGAGAAACAATTGAGACCCTGCAATTGTGTGCAAATAAGGCAGAAAGTCAGATCAGCAACCTGGGACTTGGTTACAATTATTGTGATGCCACATGGCAGCAGGGTCTACCATTAGACAATACAGTATGCTTCCAATATCTTCTCAGGTGTTAGTACCTCCCTGTTTGATAGCTACCTACTACCGATTATGAGCTTACTACTGTACTGTACTTGCCAACCGTTGTAACAGACATGAGGATACGTAAGTGAAGGGTAGCATGTTTTTATATTTAAACTATTCACACCAACTAATTAAAATTTAAGCACGTTAATGTTGTAGTGATTAGACTAGAGACAGCTGCTCAAAATGAACATCAAAGAAAATGATTATCTATTTCTATTTAAAGAAAACGGAATGGTAGACTAAGCAAAATGTTTAACTGATCGTCCATACAACAACTACTACTAAACAATAATAGTAATAATAATAATAACGATAATAATAATACAATAGATATTCAGTAGTTGTCATACAGGTTTACAATTGGATTGGCCTGTTTATAAGCTATACATTTATTCAGTTCAGCATGAATATACAGTACTCAATATAGACAATGTAGCTATACGATGCAAGTAGATAGTAGGAGTATACAGTTTCCTGTGTGCCGAGACAAAGCAGGCAAACAACGCGTTAAACAGTAAGGCAACTTGACCAAGGATATCCGGCAGAGCTGTCAGGTGCTCAAATCGGGAACCAACCATACTTGTGCATTTCCTTTAGGTGAAGTTAGTCATAGGTTGTGCAGTGTTAAAAATATATTAGAATAGATCCATGCATCAGAGAAAATAAATGTACTCTTCAGTAAATCTATTTTCTGGCACAGCGAAAAGTATTACCAGATTTGATTTGAATCACTAGATTCAGACAAATATAATGGTTGATATGTATTAATTATCTTTTCTTTAATACCGATCTGAATTTTCTAAGATTGCAATATGTTATTTGTCATGTTTATTGCTTAAACTTATTTTTTTATTATTTTACTTGAAATTGGTAGATGTTCGGGTATAGAATTAAGGTGACCCTGCAGAATCATTCCAAAGGTTTTCTATGTTAATTTTGTCTAGAGTTAATGAACGCATATAATTAAGGTAATCTCAATCGTTTGCAAGGAATATTAATCGTACGACCTCTTTGAGAATGTGGTTCCACTCTTGCACTTGTTTATTTATTGATTTTTTTTCCTGAGATAAAATGAACACTACAATGGCTGTTTATAGATATGATATTAAACATGGTATAAATCGTCAACTATTACGAAATATTCCAAGAAAATAACCTTGTCAATAAACTTCTTAAAAGGGTATTACTTTACTATTCTTATGCACCTAATTGTGCTGTTTTGATGTGCTATTGTATACAAATAATGGGTTTTAATTTCGACTCAACCTCCCGTATATCCACCACAGCAATTGCAACGTAAGTATTTGTTGTTCCTCGCAGTTTTCTTTCTGAGAAATTCAATAGTTTAAGCTGTCATTTGAATCCATTGGCATTATTAAACAACCAAATCACAGTCAAATAACTAGAAATGTTGGTAAAGTTTGTTGGTTAATTTAGCCGATTAGTTTAGGTTATGTTATCTTAGGTTAAGTTAACTAAGCTGCTTCTTGTCATCTATGATACACAGTTTAATGTCTTCGTGTCTCATTGTTGCCTAAATTCAGAAACAGGTGGTCGAGTCTGGGTCCGCATTCGTATGAAACTTAAAGCAGGTTCTATTTTTTTTTCACAAAGCAAGGTGAAAGTGGGTCCCATAGGCATGACTGCACGTTAGGAACAGCACGCTGTATGCCTTTGGTACACAAGGAGGTAGCATGGCCGTCACTGCGCGCAACCGCATTTCACAGAGAGTAACATTTTCTTTAGTGCTAGAGCAATACGCAATTGTTTTCTATGACGCTCGTTTTCTGTTGGTGTGATCGTCTTAAGAGCGGGTAGCGTGCCGCACACCGCTGTGCCGTCAGCCGTGGGCTCGAGCTGTCAGTGTTGTTTCAGAACTCAGTGGGAGTGTTCGAAACTCCAGCTCCGGCTTTACAACACGTGTACAATGAATGTGTTAAACATATATCATATTAGAAAAGAATTTCTATGGATTCTGCTCTTCTGCTTTGTTCTGTCTGGTAAGTACACTGCACTGAATAATTTCTCGCGGAATATTAACCATAAAGATTTTACAATAATTCGCTAACTGTATCGTTTGCTAAGGATTAAAAACCAAAACAGGTTTTAGACCTTTAAACATGGAGGTTGGTTGTGACTTGACACCGCTCTTAGACTCCAACAAAGCTTGGTAATAAAAAATGACGCGAATTTCAGAGAAGAGGTGGAGGGACAACGTTGAGGGCCGTGGTAGCGTGGTTGTATTAGGCTGTGTTGGTCGCTACTCACACTATTGATTAGGAAACGCCCTGGATGAGGGAGGGGGAATCCCCGGGACACAGACGGCCTCCTTGTTGATAGTTGGCAGAAGATAACTTCATCGTCATCTTGTGTGTTTGTGTTTCACATTCTTGAGATATAAGAATTTATCGTCAGCTTGAAGTGTTGTACCTTTGCGTGTGGTTCATATTTATATATTTTGTTTAGTTTAAACCGATTAATTCCTCCCTCAATATATTTTGTATATAAAATTAAATACTTCCCCGTCATATATACTGTATATAGTTTTGTTTGGAATAGTATTCATCCTATTAACTCGGACAACCCTTTATAATCCACGCTTCACATATCAAGTGTGTGTGCTCGCTTTGGGATGTGCGAGGACTAGTTCCGTATGAAGTTTTATAAGATTACTGTATAGTAGGCTGGGTTTAATTCTTTATTCAGTATTAATAGTTTAGAAGTTATAGAGTATGTGGGATGGTCGAAGATATAAACATTTTAAAGGGACGTTCATGTAGTCGTGATATAATTCAAGATCTGGAGCGTCTTTACTTGCTCACGGAAAACAGATGTTAAATTTGGTGTAATACATGTGTTATACATGGATGAATTACTTTTAACCTCTTGAGTTCCACGTTATCAGTTAAGTCATCGTACAGGGTTAAGTCGGCGTACTTCATGGGTTAACTCATCGTGTTCAAGGGGTTGTCATCGTACTCTGAGGGTAAAGTCATCGTGTTCAAGGGGATGTCATCGTACTCTGAGGGTAAAGTCATCGTGTTCAAGGGGATGTCATCGTACTCTGAGGGTAAAGTCATCGTGTTCAAGGGGTTGTCATCGTACTCCGAGGGTAAAGTCATCGTGTTCAAGGGGATGTCATCGTACTCTGAGGGTAAAGTCATGTCATCGTACTCTGAGGGTAAAGTCATCGTGTTCAAGGGGATGTCATCGTACTCTGAGGGTAAAGTCATCGTGTTCAAGGGGATGTCATCGTACTCTGAGGGTAAAGTCATCGTGTTCAAGGGATTGTCATCGTACTCTGAGGGTAAAGTCATCGTGTTCAAGGGGTTGTCATCGTACTCCGAGGGTAAAGTCATCGTGTTCAAGGGGATGTCATCGTACTCTGAGGGTAAAGTCATCGTGTTCAAGGGGATGTCATCGTACTCAGGGTCAAGATGTCGTATCCAAGGAGTTAAGTCATCGTTCTTGGGAGTTAAGCAATGAATTAATGTAAATCATGATAGCATTTTCTTTTTCACATTGAATTTTATTAATGTCTTCTCAGTCTTTATTTATGACAGACATAGAAAGATGAATTGTAATCGGAAAATAGTGTTTGTTTTACGTCTTTGTGTGTATCGTATGCTGCCAAATGAAGTCTCCGTATTAATAAATTACATTTAGCTCCCGAGTCCTTGGTTACAGTGTAAAATATAGGACGAAATTTTGAGAAAACAGCCAGGTAGGGCATTTGTTTGTGAATGGTGAAAAATATTGAACGTAAACATTGATGGCCATATAAAACATGAACTCGTTGTTGTTCCAAATGAAGTTGGGCGTGTGTTGCCACGGGAGGAATAGTGTTAGCAAGGGTGAGATAGTGTTGACATGGGTGAAAAAGTGGTGCCATGGGATGAGTGTTGTGGCAAGGGTAGGAGACGCTATCTAAACTTGATATTTATAATGCTACTAGAACTACCAATTACGATAATGATAATAATAATAATAATAATAATAATAATAATAATAATAATAATAATGCTAGTATCTATTAATTATGATGATAATAATAATCGTAATACCACCATCACCATTACTACTACTACTACTACTACTGTTTCATACTATAATACATATTTACAAGCAGAGACCTAATGAATCTAAATGTAGTGTAACATAAACAGTAACTCTTTGCATAGCCTTAAACAGGTCTTGGCATTTTAGATATTAAGTTGTTGTCACTAAGGCGGCGCGGGTGTTGCTGCGACCACTTTTGTTTCCTAAGTGAACACATCTGCAGGAGTGTCAGATCTTACATAATTATAAGGAACAGATCTGCAGTGTGTGTGTGCTTATACCTTCTGTCAGGGACATCCTTGTGTGTGGGGGTAAATACAGGGTCTCCTGCTTGAAGGAAAAACATGTTTTGTGTGTATTTCCGGCCTGTGTGTGGGGGGTGGGGGTTCAAGGTATGAATGTGTGGATGGAATATATTGATGGCAGCGGTAGATATGTAAACACAGATTGATATGCACACACACACTATTTGTGATACTTAAAATTGTGGTCCATTAAAATTTTTGTGTCTGTCGGTGTGTATGTATCTCTTAGAAAAATGGAGCAACCGATTTTATAAGAAAATTTGATGGCGGGGTTAGTTTGTTTAGGAAGGTCTGCTGTAAATAAGGAGAAAGTAGGTGAGAGGTCACGTTCAAGATTCAAGGTGAGTCAGGTGTTGGTTGTGGGAGTGGTGGAGACGTTTGTGTTCCTGAGAACAGTTGTGATTGTCTGATTTTTTATTGTTATTAGTAATAGTATTTGTATCTTATTATTATTATTATTATTATTATTATTGTCTATTTTTTATAATAATCAACTATCGTAATCCCTTAAGCGTCCCTTAGACAGGTGCTCTTCGTCTGGCAGTGCAGGCGGCGGGCAGCTGGGAGGAGCCCACCAGCTGCCACGAATCGTCTGGCAAACTATCGTGCACACGGGTAGGAATACGGAAGCAAGAGAGCGGAAGTCAGTAGAAAAAAAAAGTTCCTCCACGCTCCACCATCGAGTTCCGCCGGACCCGACAATTTTCTGTCAATAAAACATTCCACTGTACGGTCTCCGATGCAGTGAATGGCCGAACGAACCTTCTGTCGTGAAGCCTTCACAAACATTGTCGTAACACAATAATTTTATCAGTACACAGGGAAGCATGCGGAATTCATGCTTGCCTTCAGGACTCGTGCATTAAGGGCGTAAGTGCCTGAAGGGCCATGGGTTATATCGGCACGTTACATATAGTGACAGGATGAGTGTGTGGGGAGGGGGGGAGAATTCCCGATACAACACATCTGGTTATGGCAAGCCGTGGCAAGTCCTTAATAAGTCGAGTGCCAGGCCTGTCTGAAGGAGGAGGGATATTTGGTCAGTAGGAAGGGGTGTTGGTGACGGCTGGGGACTGTGCTGTGGTAGGCACGGTGGGGGTGGAAGGAGGCACATTAATTGACCAATAAATGTTCTATGGGTCAGGGTATACAAGGTCATGAAGCAGGTTACTTGAGGTCAGGAAAGTTTTTAGGGGTTAGTATTATAAACTTTCGTCTCTAGATACGTTTAAAGGTAACTTCTCTCTCTCGTCACGGAGGATAATGAAGTCTCCGGCAGTGGTAAGTGTCTTTAAACCCTGAAATATTACCAAATTATCACTTAACGCTAAATTCCGTGCGTTCTTTTAACCCAAGGGACCACGCCTTACACGGGATCACACACACACACACACACACACACACACGCGGTTGATATCATCTTTTCTTTATATATTTAGAAATATTTTCTTGTCCATATTCAAGCAAGCCTGATATTCATTGCACTGGTGTGTGTGTTGTGGGGGTGAAGGACCTGAGTGGACCCGGAGCGATTGCTGGGAAAAGGAGGCGGAGGAAGGGAGAGATGGGGAGATAAGTGGGAAGGTGAGGGAGGGTGGGAGGGAGGGATGGGGAGATAAGTGGGAAGGTGAGGGAGGGTGGGAGGGAGGGATGGAGATTGGGAAGTGTAGGGGGGAGGAAGGTGAGTGAGAGGAGGTGGGGGCGGATGGGAGGGAAGGAAGGAGGAAGAGACAAGAGGAAAGAAAGGTGGATGAGAAAGAGATGGGATAGGGTGGGAGGGAAGGGAGATCAAGGGATAGATGGAACCTGGGAGGACTGGGGGAATCAGGAATGTTTCAACAAGCAAAAATATCGACGTATATGATCACCCCTTCCCTCTCGTCACTCTCTCACCAAGCTAGCATGTGTGTTCACTCTGGTCACGTGTGTTGTGTGGCCTCCCGGGTGTGAGGTCATAGTCGTGTTCACTCTGATATTAATAACGTTGTCTATCTATTTCGTGTTCACTATTATGTTACCGGTAAGTCATTCTAAGTTTTTCCTTTTTCTAACCTTTTCTTTCTCTTTATATGTGTCATTCTCTTATCCTTTTCCTCTCTTTCTTTCTCGATATTTTTGTCCTACTCCTTTCTATAAGTCTTTATCGTTCTGTGTTTGTAATTATTAATATATATTTCCCTTGATCTAGTTTCTCTCTAAGATAAGCTGCGGGTTGTGTACGGCATCAGAGACTACCAAGCTGAGCAAGGTTTGGTATCACTACATGCTAACACCCCCGCACAGCCTCAGGGGGTGTCCTCTCCTGTACCCGCCAACAGCGTACTGGGTGCTGCTTCACATCCGCCACCAGTCCCTCTCGCCTTATGTGTTGTTTCCTCTGGTTGACGCCTCTATGAACACCTCTCCTGGTAGTATAACACACCGGGCTCACTGGTGGTAGGTTAGGTTAGGTTAGGTTAGCAGGCGAGACTAGCCAAGCAAGTCAAATCAAGTTAAGGAGACTCGCCCCACCTGAAGCTGTAACACGCCTAGATAGGTCCAGATTCTCAAAGGCTCACTACTTAATATCTATTTCTAACTGGAGATAAGAGATCGTACATAGTGAAAGTAGAGTCAGTGAAATTTCGAGTTTCGATTTCATTTTGGCTTCTCATCATTGTGCCGCAACTGAGGTAAGCCACGTAGGTGCGTTGTCACCCCGATTATATCAAGAAAATTTGATATTTCCCAGCTGTTTCAACAGTTAACGACTATTTGAGACCATCCAAGACCACTCATGACTGTTCGTGACCACCCAGGGCTATCCCTAATCACTCTTGACCATCCAGGACGATTACTTGACCATCCATGACTAAGCTGCTGTGTCCAGCACACCAGCCGCCTCAACACTACAGCACCTCATTATATAAATTGCCTTTGTGTCTGCAGTACTTCCTTGACAGGCTAAGTGCAGGGTAGCCCATGCACAACTTCCTCAACACGTCACGAACATGTACACGTCTCTTTACCCCTCTTCTTAAGGGTGGACTGAATATTGCCGTCGCTTTCTCTGTCTCTGCTTGTTAGTCTGTCTGTGAACAAGATTTTTCAGTAACGCGTGTACCGATTGTCATGAAACATGTCAGGCTGGTGGCTCGGAAAGAACTCTGTTAATTTTTGTTATGGGTAGAGCTCTGAGCTTGTGTTCAGATGGTGTACACTGACTAGATGACTCGGGGTTTTAAATCAAAGATCTGTTCAGTGTAGTTTAAACTGTTACAGGTTTTTTTTTTTTTTATTGGGCACCCCCCTACATCCTTGTGTAAGGTGAAGCGCAGAAGCATTTACAGCGCCCAACAGGGAAGCATGCTAAGTTCATTCTTGCCTTTATATCTCACGAGTTAAGGGCGTATAAGCCTGAAGAGTCAGTGGTTTATGTCATGAAGTTATTGGAAGCTCCAACAACTTTCCCTGAATACGAATTCGCAATTTTCGATTTACACCAGGTACCTACTTTACTGCTAGGTGAACAGGGACTAGTGGGGGCTAGGTTAGGTACAGGTTCGATGCCAGGTGTGGTTAGGGTCAGGGTGCAGTTCAGGGACGTGAGTTTGGCACGTTGCTGATTTGTGCGTGTGAGGAAATGCTAATGTTGTTGTGGTGACCGCCTGGTGTCCCGTGGTGTCAGCTAAGGTATCTGGTTATTAGTACACTGTCGCTATATATATACAGTATGTGTACTTCATACGCTAAGTGTACTTCCCTCCTTGTGTGTACAGATAGATAGATAGACTGATAAATAGATCGATAGATAGGTTTATTGCTTGATTAATCGATCGTGTGATTGAACTGGTATATAAATAGATAAGCAAATTAACAAAGACGTTTACTGCTTTAAATGTTCAAACGACATATTCTTGCTTTTATCACAGTTTATCAGTTGAAACGTGAAGCGAAATATAGACGATTTTAATAATAGTTCTGACGAAACATTTGCAGTATAGTTATTATGTAAGGCGACGCTATAGTGGGTTGTTGTGGTGGTGATGGTGGTTGTTGTGGTGGTGATGGTGGTTGTTGTTGTGGTGGGGGTGGTGGAAAGTTGGGAGGTCTGTCTTGAGTAATGCTGAGACACGTAGCCAGGGGTGATGGGGTGGCGGGGAGCGTGATGGAAATGGGGGGTAGGTGGGATAGGTCCTTTTGGGTGGTGGGTTGGTGGAGAGGGTGGTGGTTTGGTGGAGAGGGTAAGTGGGTTGGTGGAGTGACTGGAAGGAGAGAAAAGGAAACTGGATCCTGTTTAGACAGTTCAACGTTTGATGATCGTTCGTAAATAGTGACCTGCCCAATATTGTTTCATTGGTATTGGGTGAAAATTAATCTACCTACTGTACATAAAACTTCAAGACCTCGTTTAATATTTATCTTCTAACACGTGATGAAAGAAGAAGAGGTTTACACACTGACGTTGTGTCGAGACAAACACAGGTGGATAACACTGAAGGCAGGGAGCTAACGACATTGTTCGGTCATGGGGACGTCGCTGTGACATAAAGGCCACACTCGTTCTAATGGTGCGTCATGACGACGTAAAATATCATGGAGGCCACACACGTCTTCCTGCTGGGTCATGACGCAACACACCCGTCTCTTAAACCTTGACGACGTGCAGACGACATGACACTCCCCTGCACTGCCCGTTAAGGCACTCCTAGTGTGTGTGTGGTGTGATGACCGGGAAATACTCCGGCAAGGTTCGAGTGGTTCAGCGTTGACCCTTGGCCTCTTGACCTCTCGAGGGCCTCAACCAAACACTCAGACGCGTGGTATCAGCGATGGAGTGGAGGATTGCGTTACCATGGTCGTCATGACGGAAAAATTCACATTCGGAAACTTTATTAAGAATTCTAAGTTAAGATTGAGAAGTAAATTTAAAGTGTAGGCGCTGTGTTTCCTTGTGGTGACAGTATTATAAGAGACGTATTTACAAATATTACCCAGTAATACCCATGTGGTAACAGTACTGTACTGTATTATAAAAATAGTACAAGTGCAGATATGTGTACAGTACAGGTGAATGATGACATACAATGAGTTTAATGAAAACGGTATTCAGAAACCTTAGTACGGTAAAACTCAAGCGGTTACAGTACTATAAAGGTGAGACCTTCATCTTGACACGATTTAACTGCTTTCAAACTTCTGCAGAGCAACACTGTCTGTCGTATTATCATAAGTGGCAGCCGTCGTAAAACACTAAGAGCGATTATGCTGGACAATTGATGATATTTAACAGATCCCGAGGAAGACCTGAATACAAAAGAATCATTATTGTTACCAAATGTGTATATCTAGGTCACGTTTCCTCGATACAGTTTATACTGAATCGTTTTAGTTTCAACCTCAAAAGTTCACTTTTAATGGTTACAATTTGAAGAACAATAATTTCACGAGTTTTGTCTGAAGTGTTTTTCCTGTTACCAGTTAAAATTCACTTCAACCGAAAAAGGTTCCTTTCGAAATGTTTTCATTACAGACTAAGTCAGTACAATTAGAAAGTTCATGTCACAGCTAAAACAAGTTTGTTGAGAAATGTTTCGTTATGAACTTAGAAAGCAGAATTAGAAAGTTAATGTCACACAAAATGAAAGTATATTTGAGAAAGTGTTTGACCTAAGCAATATAAATAGGACGACGATTGGTCACACTTAAGATGATGATTTAATCACCCAAGTACGATGTTCAGGTTTTTGAGGATGATTATTTAACCTCTTGAAGATGATGATTTAACCTCTTGAGAAGAACGGGTTAACCCCTTGATGATGACAGTTTTAAATCCTTGAGCATGGGTCAATGGCTGGACTTTTGGGGATAATTTAACAACATAACGACTCATCAACACGAGTATGATAGCTTAATAACTCATGGACGATAGTGTAAGGTTTCAAAAGACAATACTTCGACCCCTTGAGGATAACGGCTTAAACCCTTCGTGGTAGTCAAAGCTTTAAGCGTGGTGTGATTACTATGCCTGTGGAAGGAGGGCGCTCAGATTACATTCTGCACGTCACCATCAGGTCAGGTCTCGCTGTGATTACTAGATAAATCCCCAGGTAAAGAGGATTTACTGAACGATGATAGTCTCGCTGTAATCCTCCCGACGCGAATAATAGTGACAAGGAAAGAATTGGAGGCGTTGAAATCTTGAATACATTACCTCATATTTTGAATTGTTGGGATATTGACAAAGTCTGTAGTTTACGCATTCTGTCATATAATACAGTATTTTCAGTTTAATTCTAAGGTTGAATATAAACGAATTTAAGTAGTATTAGAAAGAAAAGGTGGCACTAAGGACAGTATTGGGTCGCGATGTCCATTAATCATATGAGGGAAGTGTGTATTGAGACGAAGGTTTTATTGTGAAAGTTAAAGTCTACAGAATGAACTCTAACTCCCCGTTTGTACCTTGACCAATGAACTAACTCAAAATACAACAAATCTCCACCGTTGATCACAAGGAGACAGTTTTGTAGAAAATTGATCAAAGTACACGACATAAAACTGACCACAAACCAAAGGTAAACAAACGCAACAGACCTGCATCTCTCTCCCCCCAAACATAAGACGCTCTGTAATCAGCTCGTTTTCCTTTTCAGATACTGGAGATTATTCGTTCCAACAGTATTCGTAAGTTTTCCACCACAACATCACTCTATTTCCCAATAATATTCACGATTTTTTTTTTGGGGAGTGAGTTCATGAAGAAGGGGTGATTTTTTTCTTTCTTGTGTATGTTTAGTGAATTAAACATAACATTAGTGATAAAAAACAAACTTATGGTTATCAATGAGACACAATTGGTTGGTTGGTGAGTTATGAGGATGAGTGGTTAGGTGGGTGGTGGTGGATGAGTGGTTAGGTGGGTGAGGGACGGGTGGTCACAGCTGGGTGAGGGAGGGGTGGTCAAAGGTGGGAGAGGGAGGGGTGGTCACAGTTGGGTGAGGGAGGGGTGGTCACAGTTGGGTGAGGGAGGGGTGGTCATAACTGGGTGAGGGAGGGAGGAGTAACACTACTCAAGATAACTGGACATAGACGTGTGGATCACCCCTTAGGGAAACTGCTTCCTGCACTGTTACTGACCAGGGCCGACGGAGAACGTCAAATACAGTGTTGCGCCAACACCACAACACTGGCGTGGCACTGTGCCGCAGACAGTGCCTGGCAGGGTATGGGAAAAGGAACAACTTGCTATTAGGATGATGAAATCCGGATAGGTCTCAGAGACATAGGAATTTCATCATAGTAATTACAGATGAGCGTGAACGTCCATTACTGTTCATGTCTTATTATTCACCATTATCACAAGCCTAAATTATCATTTTATTATCCAACTGGCCTTGTGTGTGTGTGAAAAACCATAACTTATGTGACTATGGTTATAAGTTTGTAAAGTCAACACGTCTATCACGTTTGAGCGTAACGTCACGCCCCTCTGGTGCAAGTGGTGTGTGTGTGTGTGTGTGTGTGTGTGTGTATGGCTGATGTACACGTATGAAGATGATCTGTGGATATAACCTTAAAGCTTAGATAATGGAGAACATTATGGATGGAGTGAAATAACAGAAACTAAAATCAGTACACAACAAACAAACTTGTGATGGAATGATAGAAGCATCGCCTGACTACATCGTGTCCAAATACCTGACACACCAACCCCAGCAGACAACGATCAACACCTGTGTGTGTTGTAGGCGTCTTCTGGGGTGTTTTGGGGAGGGTGTAGCCACGTGTCAACCAGGGCACCTTGTCTGGTGACGATAACCCAGCAGTGTCTGACACACACACACACCTGATACACGCTAGCAGGACGGGATTCTCTATGGTCGGCTGCCCTCTCACGGTGTCTCTTACAGCTGGAGTCCCACCTCCTTCGGACGTCCCTCGGCATCTGCCGCTGCTGCTGCCCTTATATCTACTGACGACCTTCCTCTGTCGAGTGTCCCTACTCATTCGGTGTTTACTGCTCCTCTCTGTGTAATGGCATCCTTTCTACCTCGGGCGTACGTCTGCGTGTCTGCGTTTTATTGACGTCCCTCCTCCTTGATTTATCGCAAAGTGTCCCCCTGGATGATCTCGGTAATGTACTTTTATCCCTCCGGAGTTGATCTGCAAAAACTTGCAGATCAACACAAGATGAATGAATTTTTCAATTCCACTAAAACATTTTATGGGCCAATCACCCATGGCACAGCCCCCCCTCCGCTCATCCAGGTAGGTAGGTTAGGTAGGTTAGTTAGGTTAGGTAGGTTAGGTAAGTTGGTAAAGTAGGTAGGTAGGGCAGGGCAGGGCAGGACAGGTTATGATATGATAGGATAGGATAGGTTAGGGAGGTTGGGTAGGTAGGTAAGGTAAAGTAGGTAGGTAGGTAGGGCAGGGCAGGACAGTTTATGATAGGATAGGATAGGATAGGATAGGTTAGGAAGGTTTGGTAGGTAGGTTAGGCAGGCAGGCAGAATTATCAGACAAGTTCACATTGGTTCAGCATATACGTATACACACAAGCTCACGGATAAATAACATTGGGTAACAGTAAGTGTACACAGCCAAGTATAGCCCAAGAAAATTGTTAAAAGCTTATATCCATTAGTGTCAAGATCATGAGGCTCACTTGTGGTTGAGTGCGGTTGACCGTCACGAGAGACTGCAGTCGTATTTTGGTTGGGTTTCGTCACTCTCGTCTCCGGGTTTCCTGGCCGAAATGATGGAGGTTTAACTTTTTCGCGCGTGAGGGATGTTTTTTATTTTTTTAATTACGGTTTACCACAGACACCCTTGTTAGTGTCTAGTTTGGGTTTTGTTTTTTATTTTATTTTTGCCTTAAAGGAGGGAGAACAGGACTTTGACTTTAAAATATATTTGTCAGAAAAGTAGAAAAAATAATCAGTGAATTCAACAGTTTGTCATAGGTTGTTGTTGACACGTATATCAAGTACCTTTGTTCATAGCAGAGGGGATACAGATTTACAATTTAATTCAAGCCGTGATAAATGGAAATATGACTTCGACCAAACTGTTTCAGGGACTTTCTCCGATACCCATGCCACGTTACGTCCTGTCATAACGTGATAAAGCGTGTCATGGCGTGAAAATAATTAAGGAGTGATGATATAGGCGTGACCAGTGCCAACACCCATAGCTTGTCAGGTCATGCCATAGGGATACATAATATGCCATAGACGCGTAATAACGCATCATATAGTGTTAAAACTTTCCACTACGTACCCTAGCGCGTTATATCGTGTAATAAGGCACCTAAATATTGCTAAGTATGACGCGTCATTACATATAACAACATGCCTACACGAACTATAATTTACCGTCTTGACAGAGTAACCACCCGCAGTGCCGTCGGGTTGAACAGGTGTGAGGGTAACAGGTGGCTACCAGCTGTTACCTGTGTAAAAAAAAAGGTGTGTTATGTGTTGAAGATCTTTCGTGTGGCAGCTTGAATGTTTATCCTCCCTAATGCTGGGTGATGTAAACACTGCCGTACTAGGGCGTTCTTGTTGACCCTTACCCTGAGAACTATTTGTAGGGTTGTGGTGAGAGAGTAGTGATTTGTGTGTGTCCGCGCATAATAAACTATCATGAAGCAGATCATCGTGTTCAACCAAAGGTTTGAACATGGAAAAATTACTCAAAGTCTACATTATATAATTATCTTCTCTGATTATTTTTATTTACATTATAGTGCAGGTGAGTCCGTCAGTCTGCTCACTTACTGTTCCAGCAGCTTTGACTCTGCTGTCGTCAGACTTAATTTAAGGGGTGATGGTTCCCCCAAAGTGGTTCTAAGGGGGTTGTTGATAAAAACGGATTGTATTTCAGGGGATTTGAAAGGATGTCGTACGCCCGCCAACGCCGATCAGCTGTGAAAGGCTTGGGCAGTGTCCCAAACTGTTGTACAAAATTGAGACCGGGTTGAGATTAACAGTTAGATTGATGCGTTTATTGAGATACAAAAAAACAGTTCGACGGTATCCTAAATTAGTGTAACATATTGTTAGAAAGACCCGGGACTCTGACTAAACTCAAGGAAGTGACTCAACACAAGTAAAGTGACTCAATACACGGAAGTAAGAAGATTGGGGAGACTCAAATCAAGAAAGTGACTCGATAGAAAGAAGTGACCTAACAAAAGAATGTGACTCACCACAGAGAAGTGACCGCAGTAGCAAGTATGAGTCAGGTCGCCAATATGCATGAAAGCAAGGAACTTTCTCCGGGACGAGGTGCTGCGTGTCAAGGTTCACTGCCGACACACACTTGTAACTCTGGGATATATGTATACTGGTGCAGGTGTCGCAGGTCTTGACACAAGTTTAAAAGACTTATTAGTCTAGAAATCTTTGTGGTGGTTGAGTACTTTACAGACCTCTCAAAAAATTTCCAGATTGGCTGTATGAAACATTTTTACCACTGTGAAATAGTGAAGGTAAGTTCCATTGTCGTGAGGGCCCAGGTGTGGCAGTGGATCCAACACACGGTACACACAGAGAGTGCGGCTCGCACTGTACTCTACCGCCTTCTCTTCTCCATCTGTTAAGTTAGGTGCCCATCCACAGCTTAGGACAGGTGACGAGCGCTGTATTCCCAGGTGAACCACAAATTTTTCAGAACCGTTCGATAGCATTAATCTAGTTAGAGTGTCTGTTAGACCATGGGACAGGCCACCTCTGCGACCAGTAACTACACTGCCAGACTTGCGACTAATGTCAAGATATCAGTTAGAATTGACTTTTAATTTTTCACACACACACAGAGCACTTACAATGAACAGAGAAAGAGAGAGTTCGAATATCCTCAGCGGGTAAAAGGCCTATCCTTTCTTTATTCTATATCACGTCTTAGGAAAATGAGTGAAGGCGTGAAAGCTTAAGAATGACTGCCAGCCAGCAGGTGTGAAAGCTAGAGAACTGCATGACAGTCAGACAGTGAAAATCTTGCTGTGTGAAAGCTCGATTGAGTGAAAGCGCGAGTTATAAAATCTAAGGTGGGTGAAAGCAAGGCAGTGAAAGCTAAATTAAGTTCAAGGTAAACTGAGTGAACGAAAGTCTGAGGCCATAGGAGAGCAGATGACGGGAGCGCCAAAGTCTAGTGGAATTAACCTGCTCAAGTAACACTGTCCCTACTACGTTGAGGCCCATTTTGCGGTACTGCCCATAATACTGTAATAATAATAATAATAGTTGAACTGTATAATAACATTCACACCAGTAAACAAAACAAAGGTACAGACGCAGCAGGAGACACGAAGGTAAGATCAGCAGTAACCTCCTCCACCTCTTCTTGGTGTGTCTCGTTTTAATTAATATCATTATTAGGTATATCCTGCCCTGGATGGGATGGAGGAAGGTGATTGCGGTGTAAATGATGTATATATGATAATGAGATTAGAGAAAAGACAGGATGTATTCGTGGCAATGGTGAGAGAGAGAGAGAGGCGTGAATTTTTTTGATGTTTGACTATTGTAAGGAATGATATCTCAGCTTTGTTTAAATTGAGATATTATTTACTTATATATGTTTGTAATCTTTTTGTCTCAGTGGCCATTGTGTCTGTTTGTGATTCAAGAGTAAAAAAAAATTGTTCAACTGGAAAAATTAAGTTCACATTCCTGACATGA